GATGAGTGTTGTTTAATTCTTGATTTCCACAATAGAAGTGTATGCAATTTAGCAAAGCATTGATAACCATTGTTTAACTCTTGAGTTCCATAATAGTACTCTATACAATTTAGCAAAGCTTTGATGAGCATTGTTTAATTCTTGAGTTCCACAATAGAAGTTTATGCAATTTATGCAAAAGTTGGGTCAGCATCGTTTAATTGTTGAGTTCCACAATAGAAGTCTATGTAATTTAGCAAACTTTTGATGAGCATTGTTTAAATTTTTTTTTTTTTTTTTTGAAAGAGCCAAAGCTCAGCAAACTATATTAAAAAGAATAAAAGAATACAAAAACAAACGGAAATAAAAAGTTAAACAAATACAAATCTAACCAACCTATCCATAGCCAACTACCAAACCACTTTTTAATAACCAGACTTAACCACCCAAAAACCCAAAAAACCTTATTATCCTTAAAGCTAGCCCAAAGACTTATTGAAAGTGGGAAAAAAGGTAACTTCACCCCCTTGCACCACTAAAATCCCCAAAGATCATTAATACCTAAGCAAGGGGTAAGGCCCTTAAAGAAACCCACAGTCCGAAGGCCAAGCTTTAAGAAAAAACCCAACAAAACCACAATACTCCCTACACAATACATAACATAGAACCAATAAAAGATAACACAATTATAACACTCATAATTACAACTATAAAAAAACCCCATCAATTTAAGCATTGTTTAATTCTTGATTTCCACAATAGAAGTCTATGAAATTTGGCAAAGTTTTGACGAGCAATGTTTAATTCGCGAGCTCCATAATAGAAGTAGTCTATGCCATTTAGCAAAGCTTTGACGAGCATTGTTTAATTCTTGTGTTCCACAATAGAACGCTATGCAATTTAAGCAAACGTTGAATGAGCATTGTTTAATTCTTGAGTTCCACAATACAAGTCTATGCGATATAGCAAAGCTTTCATGAGCATTGTTTAATTCGTGAGTTGCACAATAGAAGTCTATGCAATTTAGCAAAGCTTTGATGAGCATTGTTTAATTCTTAAGTTCCATAATAGAAGTAGTCTATGCAATTTAGCAAAGATTTGATGTGCATTGCTTTATTCTTGAGTTCTACAATAGATGTTTAAGAAATTTAGCAAAGTGTTGATGAGTATTTTTTAATTCCTGTGTTCCACAATAGAAGTCGATGCAATTTAGCTAAGTTTTGATGAGCATTGCTTAATTCTTGAGTTCCACAATAGAAGTAATCTATGAAATTTACCAAAGCTTTGATGAGCATTGTTTAATTCTTGAGTTCCGCAATAGAAGTCTATGCAATTTAGCAAAGCTTTGATAAGCATTGTTTAATTTTTCACTTCCACAGTAGAAGTATACTACGCAATTTAACAAAACTTTGATAAGCATGGTTTAATTCAGGAGTTCCACAATAGAATACAATGCAATTTATGCAAAGGTTTTATGAGCAATGTTTAATTCGTGAGTTTCACAATAGAAGTCTGTGCAATTTAGCAAAGCTTTGATGAGTATTGTTTACTTCTTTAGTTCCACAATAGAAGTCTATGCAATTTAAGCAAAGGTTGGATGAGCATTGTTCAATTCTTGAGTTCCACAATAAAAGACTATGCAATTAAGCAAAGCTTTGATGAGCATTGTTTAATTCTTGAGTTCCATAATAGAAGTCTATGCAATTTAGCAAAGCTTTGATGAGCATTGTTTAATTCTTGATTTCCACAATAGAAGTCTATGCAATTTAGCAAAGCATTGATGAGCATTGTTTAACTCTTGAGTTCCATAATAGTAGTCTATACAATTTAGCAAAGCTTTAATGAGCATTGTTTAATTCTTGAGTTCTACAATAGAAGTCTGTACAATTTAGCAAAGCTTTGATGAGTATAATTTAATTCTTGAGTTCCACAATAGAAGTCGATGCAATTTAGCAAAGCTTTGATTAGCATTGCTTAATCCTTGAGTTCCATAATAGAACTCTATGCAGTTTAAGAAAAGGGTTGATGAGCATTGTCTAATTCATGAGTTCCACAATAGACGTCTATGTAATTTAAGCAAAGGTTTGATGAGCATTTTTTTAATTCATGAGTTCCACAAAAGAAGTCTATGCAATTTAGCAAAGATTTGGTGAGCATTGTTTAATTCTTGAGTTCCACAATAGAAGTCTTTGCAATTTAAGCAAAGGTTGGATGACCATTGTTCAATTCTTGAGTTCCACAATAGAAGACTATGCAATTAATCAAAGCTTTGATGAGCATTGTTTAATTCTTGAGTTCCGCAATAGAAGTCTATGCAATTTAGCAAAGCTTTGATAAGCATTGTTTAATTTTTCACTTCCACAGTAGAAGTATACTACGCAATTTAACAAAACTTTGATAAGCATGATTTAATTCAGGAGTTCCACAATAGAATACAATGCAATTTATGCAAAGGTTTTATGAGCAATGTTATCGTGAGTTTCACAATAGAAGTCTGTGCAATTTAGCAAAGCTTTGATGAGTATTGTTTAATTCTTTAGTTCCACAATAGAAGTCTATGCAATTTAAGCAAAGGTTGGATGAGCATTGTTCAATTCTTGAGTTCCACAATAGAAGACTATGCAATTAAGCAAAGCTTTGATGAGCATTGTTTAATTCTTGAGTTCCACAATAGAAGTCTATGCAATTTAGCAAACCTTTGATGAGCGTTGTTTAATTTTTGATTTCCACAATAGAAGTGTATGTAATTTAGCAAAGCATTGATAACCATTGTTTAACTCTTGAATTCCATAATAGTACTCTATACAATTTAGCAAAGCTTTGATGAGCATTGTTTAATTCTTGAGTTCTACAATAGAAGTCTGTACAATTTAGCAAAGCTTTGATGAGTATAATTTAATTCTTGAGTTCCACAATAGAAGTCGATGCAATTTAGCAAAGCTTTGATGAGCATTGCTTAATTCTTGAGTTCCATAATAGAAGTCTATTCAGTTTAAGAAAAGGGTTGGTGAGCATTGTCTAATTCATGAGTTCCACAATAGACGTCTATGCAATTTAAGCAAAGGTTTGATGAGCATTTTTTAATTCATGATTTCCACAAAAGAAGTCTATGCAATTTAGCAAAGATTTGATGAGCATTGTTTAATTCTTGTGTTCCACAATAGAAGTCTATGCAATTTATGCAAAAGTTGGGTCAGCATCGTTTAATTGTTGAGTTCCACAATAGAAGTCTATGCAATTTAGCAAAGTTTTGATGAGCATTGTTTAATTCTTGATTTCCACAATAGAAGTCTATGAAATTTGGCAAAGTTTTGACGAGCATTGTGTAATTCGCGAGCTCCATATTAGAAGTAGTCTATGCCATTTAGCAAAGCTTTGACGAGCATTGTTTAATTCTTGTGTTCCACAATAGAACGCTATGCAATTTAAGCAAACGTTGGATGAGCATTGTTTAATTCTTGAGTTCCACAATACAAGTCTATGCGATATAGCAAAGCTTTCATGAGCATTGTTTAATTCGTGAGTTGCACAATAGAAGTCTATGCAATTTAGCAAAGCTTTGATGAGCATTGTTTAATTCTTTCGTTCCACAATAGAAGTCTATGCAATTTAGCAAAGCTTTGATGAGCATTGTTTAATTCTTAAGTTCCATAATAGAAGTAGTCTATGCAATTTAGCAAAGATTTGATGTGCATTGCTTTATTCTTGAGTTCTACAATAGATGTCTAAGAAATTTAGCAAAGTGTTGATGAGTATTTTTTAATTCCTGTGTTCCACAATAGAAGTCGATGCAATTTAGCAAAGCTTTGATGAGCATTGCTTAATTCTTGAGTTCCACAATAGAAGTAATCTATGAAATTTACCAAAGCTTTGATGAGCATTGTTTAATTCTTGGGTTCCACAATAGAAGTCTATGCAATTTAGCAAAGCTTTGATAAGCATTGTTTAATTTTTCACTTCCACAGTAGAAGTATACTACGCAATTTAACAAAACTTTGATAAGCATGATTTAATTCAGGAGTTTCACAATAGAATACAATGCAATTTATGCAAAGGTTTTATGAGCAATGTTTAATTCGTGAGTTTCACAATAGAAGTCTGTGCAATTTAGCAAAGCTTTGATGAGTATTGTTTAATTCTTTAGTTCCACAATAGAAGTCTATGCAATTTAAGCAAAGGTTGGATGAGCATTGTTCAATTCTTGAGTTCCACAATAGAAGACTATGCAATTAAGCAAAGCTTTGATGAGCATTGTTTAATTCTTGAGTTCCACAATAGAAGTCTATGCAATTTAGCAAAGCTTTGATGAGCGTTGTTTAATTCTTGATTTCCACAATAGAAGTGTATGCAATTTAGCAAAGCATTGATAACCATTGTTTAACTCTTGAGTTCCATAATAGTACTCTATACAATTTAGCAAAGCTTTGATGAGCATTGTTTAATTCTTGAGTTCTACAATAGAAGTCTGTACAATTTAGCAAAGCTTTGATGAGTATAATTTAATTCTTGAGTTCCACAATAGAAGTCGATGCAATTTAGCAAAGCTTTGATGAGCATTGCTTAATTCTTGAGTTCCATAATAGAAGTCTATTCAGTTTAAGAAAAGGGTTGGCGAGCATTGTCTAATTCATGAGTTCCACAATAGACGTCTATGCAATTTAAGCAAAGGTTTGATGAGCATTTTTTAATTCATGAGTTCCACAAAAGAAGTCTATGCAATTTAGCAAAGATTTGATGAGCATTGTCTAATTCTTGTGTTCACAATAGAAGTCTATGCAATTTATGCAAAAGTTGGGTCAGCATCGTTTAATTGTTGAGTTCCACAATGGAAGTCTATGTAATTTAGCAAAGTTTTGATGAGCATTGTTTAATTCTTATTTTTTTTTTTTAAAGAGCCAAAGCTCAGCAAACTATATTAAAGAGAATAAAAGAATACAAAAACAAACGGAAATAAAAAAGTTAAACAAAATACAAATCTAACCAACCTATCCATAATTTTCTACTTTGTTAGTACTAAAGAAATGTCTGTAGACATAAAAGACACAATAGGAGCTGTCTTTCTACCCCTTTTGACTAAAGAACAAATAAACAATAACTTAAAAAGTATTCCAGTTGAGATTAGATCAAAAGTAAGAATGGTCCATATCGGAGCTGTAAAAATTTTGATAAAATCCCAATTCCAAGCAGGAATAAATTCTCCTATAAAAATGGCCTTAATTGACAACAGAATTACTGACAGACAGGACTGCATCTTAGGTGCTGCTAGGGGAAACCTTGCATACCAAAAATTTATGTTTTCAGTCTATCCAAAATTTGCTCTAGATTTGAAATCTGCAAATATAGATAAAACTTTATCTTTTATACATCACTTTGAAAGAAGTGACCTTATGAACCCAGGTGATAAACCATTCACCATAACCTATCTCATAGGATATGCCCTGACCAATAGTCACCATAGCATAGACTACAAGAAAGACGAGTACATCGAACTTGATGATGTCTTTTCAGAAATAGGCCATGTCAAAGATAAACAATTCTGCGACATAAATCCTCAAGAAAACTCTTGGGTTTTAAATATAGCTAGAAACAAAAAAGCTCTAGGAGAAACTCTTAGACCAAGAATTTCTATGGATTCACTCCATATAGGAGAAAGCTCAGAAAGAAAAGATAGTAACTTAATAAGAAACATGTCTTTAAAAATTGATAGTCTACGTCAGAATATCAAACAAATCTCTGAGGTAATAAATGAGTAATAAAATTGATTTTCCTCATTTTTATAAAAAAGGTAAAACAGTAAAAATCAAAACCCTTGACGACAATACTGAAAAGAAAGAATACGTTTTCTCTACTTCTGGAAAAGCTGGTATTCAAACAATTGTAAATCATTGCAATAATCTCAACCAGATCATTGCAAGATGTCTCTTAAAAACTTCGAAAAATGCCATTACCTTGGTATTTCAAAAGATATTTCTAAAAATAAAATACCTTTTAACCAATTTAAAAACGATTTAGCCATTTTGGTTAAAAATAATCTTGATAAAAATAATTTTGAAAAATTCTTCGAAGTTATTGAAAGACAAAATAAACTAACTATCAAGCTAACCCAGTCTATTGACAAACATTCTATTCTTTTAGAAAACTCTTTAAAAAACAACCATTTTGTTGAAGAAGTCGCCAAAAGGCAAATATTGAAGGCACTCTTAAAGAAAACAACCTTAAGATCACTAATATACAAGAGCAGTTAAAACAACTGATAGGATGACCTCGATACCCGAGCTAAATAGATCAATCAACCTCCTTAATGAAAAAATAGATGGGCTGATTATAAACTTTGACTTAACGGCCATTAAATACGTAACCACTACACAGTTAGAAGTAGCATCTGCAAAAATTATTGCAGATATTACTAAAGAGTTATCTGAAAAGATTGACTCTTGCCCTTGTAATAAAGACATTCTTGAACACATCAAGAATATTCCCATCATAGAACAAAAAACCAAAACTGGAAAATATTCAGGTCTTAAGAAATACTCACCTCCCAATCCAAGTATTGGAAACCCTGACTTAGGAAGCTCAAAAGACTCCCAGAAAATCGATATTTTCAAAAAGAGCAAAAATGAAAGAAACAGTCTCTGAGAAACTTGAGAAATATTTCTTTAACCTTCAATATGAAGATTATGATAAGGCTGACCAAAAACTTATTCAGCTTTTATCTTTAGAAACTGAAGAATGCGAAGAATTGTATCAAAAAGAACCCAAACTTTTTGATCAATATTTTAGAATGACTAAAATAGATGAACCTGATACTGAATCAGAACAAGAAGATAACTTTAAGACTAATACAAAAACTGTAAAGTTCGATATTCAGATATGGAAGATGATGAAGCAGAATCTTCTTATACAGCCGCTAGAAGAAGCAATAAAAAGAAATATGAGTTCAAAATGCCTGTCCACAATGGTATTCCAAATAGTGGTCAAGGATCCAATACGATCAATGTACTCAATATTGATTGTATCCAAGATCTAAAACTCAGAGAAAGAGTTGTAGAAAAATGGGTTACTGAGATTTCACTAATCTTACAGACAAACCCAGATGAATTTGAAAAAGCAAAAAATGTTCTACTACTTTTAGAACACAAAACTGATGGAATTGTGCAAAAATTCCTAAGAAACAATAATTGGAATGAAGAAATGCATGGTTCAGATCTTTTTGATAATATCATAAATATCATATACACTACTTTCTTAGGTCTTGATTATATTTCTAATAAAGACTTCACCATTAATAAGAAAGTTGACATAGCAAGAGTTTCAATGACAAAACTCCAATTACATGATATTAGTCTTCTCGACAAATACACATGTATGTATGAATCATATCTGTATGATATTCCACAAGAAGTGAATATGCGCAATGGATATCTGCTTACCTCATGAAAATTCCAATTATTGGAGAAACCTGTACAGACAGATGGAAAAAAGAAGTTACTGGAGAAATCCAGCAAACCAGTCTTTCTTATGCAACAAAAATTGCAAAAGAAGAAATTGATAGAATCTGTCAAGACAGATATAAACAACAAAAACTTAAAACAAAAAGCAAAGATTGTTGTAGCATTCTCTCTGATTTCAAAAACTTTGATATTGGAAAGAAAAGTTATAATAAGAAAAAGTATAAAAACAAAAAGAAATTCAAATCTTTTTGGAAAAAGAAAAGAAGAAAATTTTCACCAGGAAAATACTTCAAAAAACCTTCAAAAGAAACACCTAAGAAGACTACTTCCTGTCCGCAAGGAAAGAAAAAATGTAGGTGTTGGATCTGCAATGAAGAAGGACACTACGCCAATGAATGTCCAAATAGAAAAAAATACCCAGACAAAGTCAAGGTTTTACAAACCGCTAACAATGGGGGCTATGAAGCTCTTGAAGAAGAGTATGATGGTACACAACATGTTTTTATATATCATGTTGAGACAGAATCTTCATCAGACACTGATGAATACGAATCAACAACGGATGACTCAGACTAGTCCATACAAACCCCACTTTTCAGAGAGGAGGAGATTAACCATTTTTGCGTAAACCTCCAGAAGATTGATGATTCCCTTATCATGAATCTTACTAATCCAAACTCTATCTATGTTTCTACTTTCCTTAACTTTAAAGGATATAAAAAATTTAGAGTACATTGTTTTGTAGACACAGGTGCATCTTTATGTCTTGCAAGCAAATTCATCATTCCGGATGAACTCTGGGAAAACGCTCCCAAAGAAATTAGTGCCACTATTGCAAATGGTGAAACCATAAAAATTAATAAAGTTTGTAGAAACATTAATCTCGAACTTTCAGGAGAACATTTCAACGTTCCCACTATTTACCAACAAAATTCAGGAATTGATATCATAATTGGAAACAACTTCTGTCAAGTTTATGGACCATTCATACAATGGATAGATAGAATCGCCTTTCATCTTAATAATGATATGGTAATTATAAAAAAGGTTACAGAAGCCTATAGCAAAGGAAAACCAGGTTTTCTTGAAACTCAAGAAAAAGGTTCTAAAGAAAAACAAATTCCAGGTACTAATATAACCCATGAAGGGATTAATAAAGAAAAGATTATTTCTATTCAAACTACCAGGTTCAAACAGATTGAAGATCTCTTGAAAAAGTTTGTTCTGAAAATCCTATTGATCCAAATAAAACCAAAGGATGGATGAAAGCTTCAATTAAGCTTATTAATCCCAAGACGGTTATTAGAGAAAAACCTATGGTTTACTCTTTACAAGATAGAGAAGAATTTTCCAAACAAATCAAGGAATTACTTGATATGAGACTAATTATAGAATCAAAATCCCCTCATATGTCTCCTGCCTTTCTTGTCAATAAAGAAGCAGAGAAAAGAAGAGGAAAGAAGCGCATGGTTGTCAATTACAAAGCAATCAATGATGCAACTATTGGAGACTCACATAATCTTCCCAATATGCACGAACTCTTGACTCTTCTACGAGGAAAAAAACATTTATTCAAGCTTCGACTGCAAGTCAGGTTTCTGGCAAGTTCTACTTGATGAAGAATCGCAGCTTCTCACTGCCTTCACATGTCCTGATGGACTCTTTCAATGGAAAGTACTACCCTTTGGGCTTAAACAAGCTCCTAGTATTTTTCAAAGACACATGCAGAACGCTCTTCGAGGCCTTGAAGGTTTCTGCACTGTATACGTTGATGACATCATGATCTTCAGCAAAAATGAACAAGAACACTATGTTCATGTCACACAGGTTCTCAGAACTATTTTAAATATGGAATAATACTTTCAAAAAAGAAAGCTCATCTTTTCAAAACAAAAAATCAATTTTTTGGGTTTAGAAATAAATGAAGGTACTCATTGTCCTCAAAAGCATATTCTTGAACATTTACATGACTTTCCAAATGTTTTAGAAGACAAAAAACAACTGCAAAGATTTCTTGGTGTTTTAACTTATGCTGAAACATATATTGAAAAACTTGCAGCCATGAGAAAACTTTACAGGTAAAATTAAAAAAAGATGTCATCTGGAATTGGTCAAATGCTGATACAAACTACATCAAAAAGATAAAGAAAGTTTTAATCAATTTTCCAAAACTTTATCTTCCAAACATTGAAGACAGTTTAATTATTGAAACTGATGCTTCTGATGAATTTTGGGGAGGTGTTTTAAAAGCTAAAAACCCCAAAACGAAGAACAAATTTGCAGGTACACCCTCTGGCAGTTTCAAAGCAGCTGAGAAAAACTACCATAGCAATGAAAAAGAATTACTCGCTGTAAAAAGAGTTATTACAAATTCTCTGTATATTTAACACCAGTAAATTTCCTGGTTCGTACAGATAATAAAAAATTTATTTTCCTCCTCCGAACGAAGATTGCAGGAGATAACAAATTAGGCCGGCTAATACGATGGCAAGAGTGTTCTCACGATATACTTTCGCTGTTGAACATCTCGCAGGAAACAAAAACGTACTGGCAGACTGCCTCACTCGTGACTTCAGGTATGCCTTACATCATCCATGATCTCACTCGCTCCTCTCGAGCCCTATAAAAGGATATGATCCTCATGACATATTTCCTCACAAAAACTTCACCTACAAAAAAGTGAGGAGGAGATTAGAGAGAAAAGTAAACAAAAATTGAGTTTACAAAAATGGAAGACCTCAACATTTTGAGGATGAAGAAACAAATGCTCCTCATAGAGCTATCTGCAATTGAGCAGAAAATCAACTTGTATGAACAAGTAACAACGGTCACCAATGTACCGGAAAGCGAAAGCTCAAAAACAAAGGCTATTCCAGTGCAAACGGCACCTGGTAAAGAATCAACAAATCCGTTGAAAGCTGATGCTTTGCTAAAAAGCATAATAAAGGAGACAGCTACTCCTCTTCCTAATGGAAAAACTAGCTTATTGGTTGATCCCAATCCTTGTACTGAAGGATCAGTAAAATGACAACTTTGTCACCACTAACAAATCTGTGCAGGAGTTCACACCAGATTACAAAAAGCTCTTAACAAAGAAGCTGAAAGATTTTATGTAATCTATAAAGGACCCCATGCCGGTGTTCATACTGACTGGGGAATTACAGAAACCTTCTGTAAAGTTGATAAAGTTACTTGCAAAAAATTCAGAAATGAAACATCTGCAAGATTAAGCCTTGCCACTTATCAAGACGATACAAGCAAGACTAACCAACCACTTCTTCGACCAAAAATTCAAAAGTCAAAGAAGCCACAGAGACCAAAGGTTTGACGTTCCAATTGACGTTCAACAAATGGTTAACTATCCTGAAATCTCTTTTGAAGATTTCAGAACAATCTGGAAGAAAGCAAGAGCTGCAGCCCAGAAGACCTTGTTCATGAAAAGTTTTTCACTACGGACAAGAAAACAAAAGTCTGTTCAACTTTCTCGAAGGAGCAGATGCAAAATTAGTCTACCAAGCCTTTCAAGCTGGACTAATCGACAATATCTACCCAAGCTGCAACCTTCAAGAACTCAAATTCTTCCAAGCAGCATGGTAGAATCCATTAAGAACTTCGAAAGAAAGTACTTAAAGCAAAAGATAATCCGATCTACATCAGATGCATCTCTTCACTCCCAGAATGGATTCAAGAATCAACTCTTTCTCCATACCACTTTCTGGAAATTGGTCTTTCTAAAGCCAATAGAGAGATTGAACAATCTCAACCAATGGAAGATAAAGATCTACCTTTCACAGAAATTCTTCATCCTAACCGCGTCAATGGTTTAAGAAGAATATCAGAAAAAATCATTGAAATTATCTCTGGTTCAAAAAAAGAAGATTAATTATACCGATTCACATTGTATAATTACAAGCTGGAGTTACAACAACACCAGCCAAGAAGATCTTCGTCAAGCCTCCAAGTTTGGAGAAAAATTCATGAACAATAGCATGGAAGTATCCAATGCTACACGCCAACACTTCTGCCGACATGCAGAACAACTTTTCGAAGAACATCTTTGTCACTTTTGCGATTGCAAAGATTCGGAGACAAAGGAGGGACCCCCCTCTGAAGATGACAAATCCTCATCATCTTAAAGAAAGATGCTTCACGTGTCAAATGGCCCCACACTCAAAATAATAATGCCTTTTCTCCATTATTAAAAGCTTTCCAGCTGTCCACAATAATGTAATCTTTAGTGGATAAAAACGTCATGCCTGACATAATAGGCAAGGATTAGACCCTCTCAATATATCTATAAATTGAGAGTTATGTTTTCGAAAAAAAAGAAATCATCGCAATAACGAGTGCAACAAAAACACTCTCTATCTTGTAAATTTTCAGTTCAATGTCTTGTGAGTAAAAATCTCCCTTAGAAGGGAGAGATGTAAAATATTATAGGAGTACTCCCATTTCGGGAGCTCTTTTATCAATAAATCTTTGTTTTGTTATACTTGAGTGTTCTTACAAAAAGAGAGTCATGAAACCTGTAAGGGACAGAGTGTCAGGTCGACGATGGTCAACAGTACCACAGGCATGAGGCCAACAGGGAAAGCAAACCACATAGACCAATGATTGACACAGGCTGGCTTGAATAGTTTCTATCTATGTAAGTAATACTCCTACTACAAAACACTTATTGATTAATGAGTTTTCTCTTTACAATTTTTTGCATCTATTTCCTTCTAAACATACAAAATATACAAAACAAATTCCGTACACCACCACTGGTACCAAACCACTTTTTAATAA